GTCGACGCCGCCGCGGCGGTGAATCACCTCGACCACCTGTACTTCCAGGGCCTCAGCATCCTGCGCGCCAGGAGCGCCGTCCACGAAGCGGTCTTCGCGAAAGACTACCCCCGGAGGTCTCCGACGACCATGCGCCGCTCGGAAGACGCCCTCGCCGATTGGTTCAAAGCGGGGCCCGATCGCGCGCTCGATCCGCTCTCGCGGGGGGGGGCCAGTCCTCATTGCCGACAGCCGCGCCGAGGGAGGCGCCGAGGGGGTCGGCGCCGCTCGGGCCCTGCTGGCCAGTTACGACTGCTACGACAGGCCCAGCAGCGCCCTCTTGATCGTTGGCCGCGACGTCAGCCAGCGCCAGACCGTCTCGAGCCCGAACTACCCGAGTTTGGCGGTCACTTGGCGGGCAAGAGCCGGCTCCCACGATGAAGTCGGACGACCGCGACTGCACCGTCGTCGTTGGCGACGAGGCCAACGAGAAGGCGGGCCGCTCGGCGTGTCGGGGCGCCCTGCTGTGGGCCAAGCGCCCAGGCCGCCCGAGTCGGCCACTCTTCAGCCTTTCCTTTGCAAAGTACGAGCAGCTGATCAACCGGGCCGTCATCGACGTCGGCCTATCGGCGCCCCGGGTCACCTCGCACTGTGCCAGGCGCGGCGGGTCCCAAGCAGCTCAAATCTGTGCCGGCAGCCCTCCGAAGGCTGCAGTTTTTTCTGCGTTGAATATGTCCCCGCCCCCCCTGTGCCCGCAGTTCGACATGCGGGCGCGGGGGGACAGAAGACCTCGATAATTCAGGCTGTAATCTTTGTTCGAGGCCCGAGCCTCGGCAGAAGCGACGCGTTGCAATCTAGGCGCTTCGCGCACTCGCACGTCGTGCCTCACGTCTGGCGGCAGGCCGCGCGTGCCGCGAGGCGTTTGTGGCAAGCCGCGCGTGCCGCAACAGTGTTTTGTCGTTGCCGCATCTCACGTCTGCTCTGGTCGCCCGTGTAAAGTAACTAATTGGTGTTGTAGCAACATTATGTTCCCAACCTCTCTTGCTGTGAGCTCGAGGGCGGCCGCTCTTTGAGGGTCGATGCGACTGTCAGTCCATGGCGTTTTTTTGCTTTATAGTTCCCACCCGCCCGTGCCACGAGGGGGGGCGACATAATGTCTCGACAATTCATTTTGTAACCTTTAGTCGGGGCCCAAGCCTCGGCAGAAGCGACGCGTCTTTGTGATGCCCTTGGCCAGTTACAATCTAGGCGCTTCGCGCGCTCGCGCGCCCTGCTTCGCATCTTGCGGCGCGCGTTCCACGAGACGCTCGTGACTCGCCGCGCGTGCCGCAGGGGTGACCCGTTACTGCCGCATCTCACGTTTGCTCTGGTCGCCCTTGTAAAGTATCCAACTGGTGCTTTAGCAACGTTATGTTCCCAACCTCTCTTGCTGTGAGCTCGAGGGCGGCCGCTCTTTGAGGATCGAAGCGACGGTCAATCCATGGCTTTTTGGGTTTTTGTTCCCACCCGCCCGCGCCGCCAGGGGGGACGACATAATGTCTCGACAATTCAGTTTGTAACGTCTAGTCGGGGCCCAAGCCTCGGCAGAAACGACGCGTCTTTGTGATGCCCTTGGCCAGTTACAATCTAGGCGCTTCGCGCGCTCGCGCGCCCTGCCTCGCATCTTGCGGCGCGCGTTCCACAGGACGCTCGCGGCACGCCGCGCGTGCCGCAGGAGTGTCCTGTAGCTGCCGCATCTTACGTCTGCTCCGGCCGCCCTTGTAAAGTATCCAACTGGTGTTTTAGCAATGTTATGTTCCCAACCTCTCCTGCTGTGAGCTCGAGGGCGGCCGCTCTTTGAGGATCGAAGCGACTGTCAGTCCATTGCTTGTTTGACTCTATAGTTCCCACCCGCCCTCGCGCGGCCACGAGGGGGGCGGGGAGGGGGGCTGAATTGTTTTAGAATGCAGGTTGTAATCTTTACTCGAGGCCCAAGCCTTGGCAGAAGCGACGTGTCTTTACGATGTCTTTGGCAAATTACAAAATTGGCGTTTCGCGCGCTCGCGTGCCCTGCCTCGCGTCCTGCGGCGCGCCGCGCGTGCCGCGAAACGCTTGCGGCGCGCCGCGCGTGCCGCAGCGGTGCCTTGCACTGCCACATCTCACGTTTGCTCTGGTCGTCCGTGTAGAGTAGCCAACAGGTGCTTTAGCAAATATGATATATCGTATTGGAAATCCGTCGGCCTGCGTTTGCAAGGCCATCGACAGGTGTCAAATGCAGCTTGCCAGGCCAGCTAGACTTAAGAGGGAATAGGTTTGCGTATAGAGGCAGGGCAGGACTGAGCAGCGAAGCCGGGAAAACCAACCAAAAAGAGGCAATCGGAGGGATCCCAAGGAAGGGGAGAGGGGGCCCAGACGGCGAGGAAGTTGGGGATATGACGAGCACTTCGCTCGTCGGGAAACTATACACTAGGCTCCAAGCGAGGGCTCCAACTCCCGCTGTATTAGTGCCTGTGGGCGTCTGGGATTACGCCTGCGTCCAACATCTCAAGGACCGCATTGCAGACGCCACCGGCATCGGCATTGAACTCGCGGCGTGCGGGGCATATTTCAAATTTGTGCACTCCAGCAATGGATCTCGGAGCCACGAGCAGCTCCGACCCTTGCCCGCATAGGCTGATCGCAGATCAATCGACAAACACCTCCACTGATACTATACCTGCCGTGATGCACGCAGAAAGTTCACATTGAACAACACGCGCCGCGCGGGGTGCTGAAGCGCGCGGCGAACTGCAATGGGGAACCCAGGCTGCTCTGTTGACTTGTTCGTGGCGTCAGCCAAGAACCCGCCACATGATGCAACAACGCTTAGCGTACCCGCCTGGTAACGCACGCCGTCGTAGGATGAAACCCGACCGCGTGCACCACCCTGACCTCTGCCGGCGACGAGCCCAGGGGGGATGCAGACGTGGCGGGCATCCTCAAGAAGGTCCAGGAAGTCGTTGGCCTTATGGGAAGTTTTTTGAACCTTCCCCGAAAACAGAGAAGGCTTCTCAAAAGGCCGCAGGGGGTTGAGAAGCCCCGCCGCCTTTGAGAAAGCCTGCCCCCTCTCACTTCCCCCCTGGGCCCCTGGGCTCGCCGCCGGTTCTGCCTGTGCGATCGGGGGCGTAAGCGACCCAGCTTTCACAGACGGCTGGCGGCCGGCGAGCACGGATGGCACGTCTTTCAGCTTCAGGTGGATTGACCGACCTGTCTGCAGTCCATCCAGAGGGCGTTAGAAAGCCGGCGTGCGCGCGCACGGACGGGATCTTTTGGATCGCGTGTCGCGCCGCCGGTTCTGGCCCACCACGCTTCGGTGCGACATGTTATCCTTTTCCTTGCCCCCAGACGTCGACGACCCGAGCCTCTCCCAGCCTCCCGCCCAGCGTAGCGGAGCGACATTCTATTCGCTTGCAGGGCATAGCGTGTCGCTGGGGCCGCCGCAGCGACACGTGAAGCAACAGCTTCCGATGGTAATCCATGGCGTCAGAAGGGACGGCGCGCGTGCGTATTTTAATCTGCTAGAGAATGGAACTCCCGCAGACGTGCCACCACTCTGCAGTAGGAGAGGACGCATTGCCCCTGGGAGGGCCCTGGGAACGCCGTGGGATTGGACGCATAAAGACCCCCCCCCGCGTACCCGCTCTGCTAGTGGCGGGGAAGCGCCACCCCTGCCACGTAATATACGGTGGAACGGAAAGAGATCGCGCCTTCTGCGCTCCCCATTTGGTGGCGAGGACGTGCCACTCCTGCCACGCAAAGCACCCTGAAACGGGAAAAGGCCGCACCCCTTGCGCACCCCTTCTGCTTGCGAGGAAGTGCCCCCGCCCCCCCCCCCCGCCGCACAAAAAAAGATGGAACGGATAAAGACCGCCCCCCTGCGCACCCCTTTTCATGGCAAGGACGTGCCACACCTGCCGCGCAATCGACGGTGAGACGAAGAGACCCTACCCTCTGCTCACCCCTGTGGCCCTGTGGTGGAGCGGAAGTGCCACCCCTGCCACACAATATGCGGTGAACCAGGTAGAGACCGCAACCTTTGCGCACCCCCGCTGGAAGCCAGGGCGTGTCCCTTCTCTGATGTCGAGGAAGTGCGATCCCTGTCGCGCAGATATGCGGAGCAACGGATAGAGACCGCAACGCTTGTGGTGGCGAGGAGGTTCCACCCGCGTGACGCAATCAGCGGAGGACCACATAGAGATCGCACCCTCTGCGCGTCCCCTGTGGTGGCAGGGAAGTGCAAACCTTGCCACACAAAATACGTGCAACGCTCTGGACGTGTAAAGGTCTGTGCAGCTTATGGGGTTTGTCCATGTGCCTGGACATGTATGTGCAAGGGGCACGTGAATGTCAGGAGAAGGAAGAGGGTGAGGCGTGGAAAGAAGGTGTCGCGGGTACAGCGCGGGTGGGAAATAGAACAACAACCGCACTCAGGACGTTTGGGGAACCATCGAAGACATTAGGGCATTTGATTGCGTGCTTGCCCTCTCGGGGGCATCTTGGGGCCTTCCTCGGCCATCGGATAGGCATGCGCATCTTCGGCCGTCTTTTGCTGTTGAGGCCCTCTTTCATAACCCTTCAGGTCGTGTTCGAACCTCGGATGGCGTCCCCGCAGAATTCTTGTGGCAATCTAGAGTGGCCAGGAGGCTGAGCCGCCGCCTCCCCCGCCCCACCCCGTATACCACAAAGCCATAACAGAGACAACCAGACAGCGGTCCAACATACAAGAACACAGCTTTGCTCCCGCAAGGGGGCTGATGTGTCCCATCCTGTTTCATCTCATCACTATTGTAGCATGTCGTCCCATCACCGTCGAATCCCCGCCACTTCATTGCCATGCTGCCATCCGTTCCACTCTCATCGCGCTCCCTTCAACATGCTCGACCATCATAGTCTGGTTTCTGCTGTGGAATTTGGTCAAAGCACCTCTGAAGCCAGCTGGAACTGTGCATGGCGCACCCATTGATGGAGGGGGCACCCATTCGTTTGGAGCTGCCTTTGTCCAGGAGCGCGCGGTGTTCAAAACGGCGCACGTCAAAGCGGGGATCAACTTCGCCAAGTACGAAGACATTCCGGTGGGCGCCGGTTGGAATTTCGGCCGAATCACCGAGTCTTCGGCGTGCTGCAGTCGGCGATCTCGGGGGACCCGCCGATTTCGGCCAGGTGCTTGGCCTCAGAGGCGCGTGGAAGCCCTCCCATCATCCCCGCACTCACCCCTCCCAACGCCGCCGGCTCCAAGAGCCCGCTTCGGCGCGCAGGTGGAGACCATAGGGGGCACTGGCAACGAGCAGCCCATGGAGTCGTTCCAGGACGCCTGCGAGAAGTTCGACATCCCCGAGGGTCTCGCGGCCTCCATAGAGAGGTGCGGCTATGACGTGCCCACGCCCGTCCAGAAGTACGCCATACCCGCGGTCTCCCACACTCCGCCTGCCTCCTCTCTCCTCCTGCCTCCCCGCCATCCGCCCCTCGCTGCTCCTCCTTCCTCCCCTCCCCCCTACTTCACCATGACTTCTCCCTCTCCTCCTCTCCCTCCTTCTCGTCCGGACTACAAGTACCCCCCCGGCTACAGGTACCTCCCCCCCGAAGTACATGTACCCCTCCCCCGGACTACAGGTACCCCCCCCAGGACTACAGGCCCCCCCCCCCCCCGGACTACAGGTACCTTTCCCCCGGACTACAGGTACCCCCACTGGACTACATCCACGCGTGCGTTGACGCATGAACACGCGTTCCCCCCCAGACTGCAGCCTTCCCCCCCGGACTACAGGTACCCTTCCCCCGGACTACAGGTACCCCACCCCAGACTATTGGTACCCCCCCCCGGACTACAGGTACCCCTCCCCCGGACTACAGGTACTTCTCCCCGGACTACAGGCACCCCCAGAACTATTGAGGGACACAGTAGCCGTTTTGGCTCAAGCGGCAGTTCCCGCGAGAGCCTTCCAAAGCCTTTTGCCCCTGCGATGGCCCCCTCCGCCCCGGCCATCGCCTGCGACGTCCGCGGACATCTGCTGTGCGAGCGAACAGCACGCCCGACATGCACTTGCAAGGACTGGAGCAGCCCAGGCGTGACCTCCGCCGCCTTCACGGCGTGCCGCTCCGCCTCGCGATGGTGTCTCGCCTACCTCGGCCACGCCTGGAGCATCTCCAGGCACATCGCGACGATCAGCGCTGGCACACTCTTCAGGGAGATCACGGAAGAGGTTGCGAAGCACGTGGCACATGGCCCAGAGTGTGGACGGGTCCGCCAAAGAGCTTGCCACCAGCCAACTCGGTGACGAGCAGCGACAGCGACGAGCAGCGGCGAGCAGCTTGGTCATGACAGCGATGCTCAAGAGTCAACGGCAAGAAGCTGCCTACCGTTCCGCCCTTACCGCTGGTACCGTCTCAGCCGGTAGCTCGCGACCTGCTGGGCGGAGCCGAGTTCTTCGAGCTGTATGGTGACGAAAGTGCCGTAGTTGTTGCCGCACCATGATTCTACAGTCGCTGTCCGACGTACATTGCGTCTGTGGTTTGTACGGCGCTGCTTCGAAGCAGTGCGGGTGCGAGTTGGCTGGTCGATTCGCGGACCTGCGTGATGCAAGCGCCGTATGCGCTCGCGCTCAAAATGCCACTCGAGCGCTCATTGACCCGTGCCACAGCCACGTCGAAGATGTGATGTGCAAGGCGGATACCCTTAGGTGTGCGGCGGCCCAGGGTGAGTCGTTGAGCGAGCTAAGCTTTGGCTGCGCCGCTTCTGGCGCCATGCCCCTCCCAGCAGACGAAGCCCAGGTTGTGGACATCGGGATCTTAAGGGCGGGCACGGTGGCGGATGAGAGCGTCGCGTCGCCGGGTGTATTCATCGCAGGTGACATCTTCCCCATCAGACATTATCGCCGAGTGTTGGCTCTTACTTCGCCCAGAGCTTCAGTTGGAAATATGAACTGTGCCCCCGTCATTTTCGCTTGCTCCTCGTGCGTGCTGTGCGGCGCGTGCTTGCAGTCGCCTGCAGGAAATAAATCTCTTCCTGCCACCTCCCAATCATATCTCCTCTACTTGCTCCTCCTCCTCCGCCTCCTGTTCCTCCTTCTCTTCCTCCTCCTCATCTTCCTCCTCCTCCTTTGCCCCTCCTCCCTCCCCTCTTCCTTCGTTCTCCTCGCATTCATTATTTGAATGGCCTCCGGCCAGTGCCGCCGACCCGAGGCGCTCCAGATGCTGGTGGTTGACACGATGACGACGACGACGATGGCGACCTCGACGCCGACAACGGGCGACTTATGACTAACGGGACGAGGGAGGTGGGAGGCGGGAGGCGAGAGGCGGGAGGATGTGGAGGAGCGGAGGAGGAGGAGGACGAGGAGGAGGAGGAGGAGGAGGAAGAGGAGCAGCAGGAAGAGCAAGATGAGGACGGAGGAGGGATGATGATGATGATGATGATGATGATGATGATGATGATGATGATGATGATGATGATGATGATGATGATGATGATGATGATGATGATGATACGAACGAGGATGATGACGAGAATGAGTACGATGATGATGCTGATGATGGTGATGATGATGCTGATGATGGTGATGATGATGATGATGTTTATAGTTATTGTGATGATGATGACGATGAGGATGATTATGTTGATGGTGGTGATGATGATGGTGGTGATGATGATGTTGATGCTGATGTTGATGATGATGCGGATGTTGATTATGATGCTGCTGATGATGAGGAGGAGGAGGATGTTGATGATGATGCTGCTAATGATGATGGTGATGATGATGATGGTGGTGGTGATGTGGATGATGATGCTGATGTTGATGTTGATGATGATGATGGTGATGATGATGATGATGGTGGTGATGATGATGCTGATGGTGCTGATGATGGTGAGGGTGATGCTGATGATGGTGATGATGGTGATGATGATGATGCTGAGGATGATGCTGATGATGATGATGACGATGATAATGCTGCTGATGAGGATGCTGAGGATGAGGATGATGATGATGATGATGATGATGATGATGATGATGAGGATGATGCTGATGATGATGAAGCTGATGATGATGATGATGATGATGATGATGATGATGATGATGATGATGATGATGATGGTGATGATGGTGACGATGATGACGAGGTGGAGGAGGACGAGGAGGAGGAGGAGGAGGAGGAAGAAGAGAAGGAGGAGGAAGAAGGATGAGGAGGAAGGGAGGAGGAGCCGGAGAAGGAGGAGGAGGAGGAGGAGGAGGGAGGAGGAGGAGGAGGAGGAGAAGCAGGAGCGGGATGAGGAGGAGGAGGAGGAGGAGGAGGAGGAGGAGGAGGAGGAGGAGGAGGAGGAGCGCGAGGACGAGAGCGCGAGGACGAGGAGCGCGAGGAGGAGGAGGAGGAAGGAGGAGGATGAGGAGGAAGGAGGAGGAGGAGGCCGGGACCGGGACCGAGAGCCAGGGCCGGGGTCGGGGCCGGGGCCGGGACCGGAGCCGAAGCCGGAAGCTGGGCTGGGCCCGGCCGGGACCGGGAGCCGGAGCCAGGGCCGGAACCGGAGCCGGGGGCCAGGACCAGGGCCGTGAGCCGGGGGCCAGGGCCGGGATCGGGGACCGGGGCCAGGGCCGGGATTGGGAGCGAGGCCGGAGCCTGGGCGAGGTCCCCGCGGGGCCGCGGGCCAGGGCCGGGGCTGGAACTGGGCCTGGAGCTGGAGCCGGGACGGGGAGCCGGGGTCAGGGCTGGGGCTCGGCAAGGGACGTGGGCTGGGGCCGGCGGGGGCCAGGGCCGGGGCCAGGGCAGCGGCTGGGGCCGGGGCCATGGCCGGGGCCGGGACGGGAGCCGGGGCCAGGGCAGAGCGAAGTGTGTGCGCGCTCAAGCCCACGCTCTCAGAAACTCACACGCCAGATCGGCGGATTTCCTCTCCTGTCCTTGCTCCTTCGTCCTCCCTCCCTTCCCCCTCTCTCTTCCCCCCTTCCCTCTTAGCTCCACCTCCTCCGCCTCCGCCATCCACGCCGCTCCCACGGTCGCGGCTGGCGCCGATGTAATGGTCACGGCCCAGACCGGAAGCGGCAAGACGGCGGCCTTCCTGATCCCCATCATCGCCACCGCGCTCCGCGAGGCGGGTTGGGTTTCCAGACTTCAGGCGTGGCCTCCGATGCAGTCACAGAGCTGCGTGAATTAGTTGGATTGAAAACACCTTGGGCGCGTTTGCATCCGAACCTCGGCCTTCGAAAGCCGCGTTCGGACGACTAACCCGACCCCGTGCAGCTGCGTGTAGCCCAGGGTGTTTGCCTCCCCTCGTTGACTGCGCGCCGCGGCAGGGGTGGAGTGCAGGCCATGCGGACAGGAAGGAGGCCTCGCTCCTCATGGTGCATGAGACGTGTTATGGGTTTGCTGCACTTTGGCGATGACCGCATGCGACCGTGCCCAGTGGAGCATGATGCTGGAGTACCTTGTGATGCCCGAAACATGTGAGGGCCTTGCTGGATCGTCGAGGCGGAGACTTGTGGCGCCATTTGGGGCACAAACGTGTGAGGGGCGTCCTGGAATGAGGATGAGGGACCGCATACGAACGTGCCCAATGGGGCATTAGCTGGAGCTCCCGTATGCGGTACGGACCGTGTATGGGGTTATGCCGAAATCATCGCACCAGCTTCATAAGACCGTGCACAGTGGGGCCGCAGGTGGTGTTCCCTATGGGGCACTATGAACTGAGGGACTGCCAAATTTTTGACGCTTTGTGTACCCCCACCGGCCCACCAGCCCATCCAGAAACGATGCCCAGGGATGTTGTGGAGGAGCGGCGCAGGTAAGCATGCAGTGAAGCAAGGACGCCAACAATGGTGAAAGTAGAAACCTCGGAGAGCCTCTTGCAGCCATCTAGGGGCCATTTCGGAAGCCTTTCGGGCTACGTCTTGGGGCTTCCTTGGGGCCTTCTGAGGGGGCCTGGGGGCTCCCTTGAGGCTACCTCGGAGGCCATCATTCAAAGGAGGGGGGTATCCAATTACGGTCCCCCCGTCGGAGGCGGACTAGTCGCATCTTGGCTCCCTCTTGGGCCGCTCTTGGGGCCCTATTGAGTGCTCTTGGGGCCGTCTTGGAGCCCCCTTGGGCCCTTCTCAGGTCTCTATTGAGCCATATTGGAGCCATTTTGATGTCTCAGAAGGCAGACAACTTGATTCTAGAATGGCCCATAGGTAGTGTCAGAAATTTGGCATGTCGTTTTGCAATGCTGCGCCGACTTGTGGTCATCTTTGGCTATCTGGAGCCCTCTCGGGCCATCTTGAGCCATCTTGGACGCTCCAGCGCGTCGCCCCCCCCTCCATACCGAGTGGGGAGGAGGAGGAGGAGGAGGAGGAGGAGGAGGAGGAGGAGGAGGAGGAGGAGGAGGAGGAGGAAGGGTAAAGTTCCAAGCGTGCACGCTGCAACCTGTCTCATTGTGCAATGCCCCGACACCCCCACCATCCCTCGCAAAAACCAATCAATGAAGAGTGACGGCGGTGTTGCCAGCGTTGTGTCTAGTGCGTGCACCCGAATCACTCTGCATTTGCTTCGACAGGGATGGTGGGACTGAACGCAGCGAGCCGTACGCCGTCCCTGGCGAACTGCATTCTGTATCTTTTGCTGACAGGATGGTGTGCCTGAACACCCCCGCCGTCCCTGTCGGAAAGCACTGCCAAGTGATGGTGGGTCTCCCGCGCGTGCTCCGGAGTATGGGGCGGAGTGCACTTCGTACCGTTTTGTCGCAAGGGATGGCGGGTGGGGTGTTGGCATTGCACACTGCTGGTAATATGCCGACACCCCTGCCGTAATTGTCAAGAACCAGTGCAAATTGATCGCGGAGCGTCCGCGCGTGATCCAGCCTGTTGTTGCAATATGCTTGTCGTATGGTTTTTCGTAAGGATGGTTGGGTGTGTGGCAGTGTGTCGCCGGTCGGGTGGGAGAGAGGGTGTTCGTTCAATGATGAATCACTCACGGACGAACTACGCCCCGGGGCTGGTGGGATTCAAGTGGAGACCGCATGCGACCGTGCCCACTGAGGCCGTATCTGAAGTCCCCCATAGGGCACGAGAAGTGTCTTCCACTGCTCTGCCGCCGCGCTGCCGTGTATCCCCGCGCATGCTCGCACGTGCTTGTCGTTGCGTTCTCCCAGCCAGAGCCGCCAAAGCAGCAGCAAACATTCAACGTCTCGAGGCTCTAGTCTGGGTTGGTGCTGGTGCGGTGAGACGAACATGTTGCCGCAATCGAGGTAAGAAGGAGGTATTGTGGGCAACATGTCTGGTATGATAAGTGTTGCATCCTTGTGTCATGCTTGGTTTCTTCGCACACTCGTGACATCTCTTCCCATCGTTTCTTGTTGTGTATGTGTTTTTGTGTGGGTGGCCGGCCCCCCCCCCCTGGTGCGGCCCACGCCTGCGCCCCGTCTGAACGGCGCAGGCGCTGGGGCTGACGCCGGCTGTGTCTTTCCCCTTCCCAGTCTCTCATGCCGCCCACTCTGTGCACGTGGGGGGCCCCACCTCAGGGGGGCCTCCAGTAGCGCCGGCTCTCTGTCGCTGCTGCCCGGGTGCAGCCCGCCAGCTCTCGATGCGTTTGTGGCGTGGCGCGCCGCGTCTCCCCCCCTGGCTTGCTCCTGTACTGGCCCTGCGGGGTACAGCCTCCAAGTACTCGGAACTCGGGCCACGGTCCAGCCAGCCCTCTTGCTGGCCGTGCCCTCGCCACCGCCAGGCTCGATCCTTTTTCTGAGGTCTGCATGGGCACCGCCCTCGGGTGCGGCCCACGCGTGCGCCTGGTCTGGCCAGCGCAGGTGCCGAAGCCGGCGCTGGCTCTCGCTCGGCCACGCCCAGGTTGCCCGTTCCGGAGGATCGTGGCGCCCCTGTGCCATGCCCTCGCGCCCTGGGGCGGGGGTTCAAAGGTTCCTCGACCCTGGCGGATTTTCTGTGCTGCCGCCGTGGCATGGGCGCCGACTCCCCGCCGTCTGGCCCCTCCGTTCTCCTCTGCCTCGGGGCCTCCCTTACCTCTCCTGATATGGGGCTCGATACGGAACACCTTGCTGTTCTACAGCTAATTCAAAGTCTGCCTCGAGCGTGGTGCGCACTCTTACTGGCACCGTTCCCGATCGGCTGGTCGGGAGCACTGAACACGACGGCTCAGGCGGCGCTTTGCGTTCCGTCCTACCGCCGGGCTCCCAGTGCCCCGCGTCACAGCCAGACTGCGGGTTCAAAACTGTGCGCACCTCCTCCGCCTCTTGTATTGCATTGCATGGGTTTCGGCTTCTTCCGCGGGCATTCGCCTTTGCGGCCTTTTTCCTGCGTGCGAATGCCCTCGTCCAGTCCACCCATCTGCTGTGCCAGGTGGGAATTCGCTTGGGGTATCCCAACTCGGCGCTCGCGACGGTGTAGCCACCCCGCTGCCAGAGGAAAACAAGTGTGTGTGTGTATGCTTCCGCCCTCCGTCGTCCCTTTCTTCTGGGCTGCGGCTGGCTTCCCGGCTCTTCGGGTTTCAGTCTGGTCATTGCTCCGCGTTCTGTCGGTGTCGCTCGTCGGGTACCGCCGCCTCCGTCTTCGGACGCCGCCTCAACTTTCTCACTCCCCACCCTGCACGGGTAGGTCTGTGCGGTCTATCCAATGTGGTCCCGCGTCTGAGGCTAGGGCCCGTCCGCGCGCGCTTGTTCGGTGCCGATTG